AACCTTCTAAAATGGCATTTCGTGCATTTTTAAGAGGATTTCCAAGAAAAAATTAGAGATAAATTTTATTCCATGAGAAAGGGAGCAGTCTTTCTACAATTCCAGTCCATCTTTTCAAGAAAAATCTTGGACCTTTACATAAAAGGTGGACCAAAAAGTGGACCTTTACATAAAAAGTGGACCTTTACATAAAAAGTGGACCTTTACATAAAAAGTGGACCAAAAAAAGGACCTTTGAGCCTTGTGGGGGGGTTCTTCCGAACCCCCCGAACCCCCCTGGCTACGGGCATGGATTATACCAGTAAACAACATGTTAAAACATTTTCTACTAAACAACGACTCATCTGTCAGTCAGTGTGACGAAAGCTAGTGGATACTAGCTGAAACGTCTGACGTTTTCAAAATCATATCCAGTTGCTTCCTATATGGAATTGTCTCATCGTGTTGTGGGTGACTGCAGGTTTATCGGAATAACTCTTGAAGGCGTAAAATATATCGATATTTCCACGGCAGATGCTCTGCTGAACATCACTCCCTCGTACCCCCACTCAGAACATTCTCTGCAAGAACACGCTTAGCCACCTTAACAGCAGAAAATCACCCTTTCTTCCTCAATAGTCCATCAGTCAAGAGAAAATTTCATGCTGACAGTTTCTTCCCCAGAACCACTTCACTGTGGAACAAGCTTCCCCGTGAATGTTTCACCGCTAATTACAACCTCCAACGGTTTAAATCAAGGGTGAACAAATATCTGACCACGCAGTCATCACTGTAACCCAAAACATGTAAGTGACTTTCACGAGCCTTGTTTTAAGGTGAATTCTGAAGTAAATAAAAAAAAAATCGACGTCCATGATTTTTGCCAAGCAGTTTACTGAGGCCAATGTCAACTGCAAGTTTGGGCTTCGTAGGGGGTCCGTACGTCACTGCAGTGGAACTTAAAATGGATATCCCTAATGATAACTTGATGGTTCCCAGGGAGGAGCACTGTCGATGTCACGTTTCCTGCATAGGTTTGTCCCGCCCCGGGGTGAGTGAAAAAAATTCCAGTACAAAAGAGAAACCCCAATAAAAAAGCCTAAAAACATGCCAAAAACAAGAATTCTGAGATTTCATACCTCCATGAAATATATGAGTCTTTGTAAATGTTTTTATTTGTCTCATTGACAATGGAAATAAGGTCATAATTAGCGTAATCTAGTTACCTCCATGAAAAATGGAGGTATTGTTTTAGGCGCGTCTGTGTGTGTGTGTGTGTGTGTGTGTCTGTCTGTATGTGTGTGTGTCTGTCTGTGTGTGTGTGTGTTTCCGCACATTGTAGTCAGCATAACTTCAGAACGCCTTTATGGATTGTGATGATATTTGGTATGCTGGTATGTCTTAGGAAGGCAAAGGTCAAGGTCAAATATGGGCCTCCTGGCGGCTGACCCTGCAGCAGAACTTCCGGTTTTCGTACCTTTTTGTCCTGAACATGCTATGGTCTTGATGTTTTGGTGACAGATAGCTTATCCTGTCAGGAATAAGTGGTGTAAGTTTGATCCCCCTAGCAGCTTATTCTGGAACTGCAGGTTAGTTTCTGGTAAAAAACTTTTAAA